ATCGAGTTCTTAGGTCAACCGTGACTATAGAACCAATAAAGGGCCCAAAACGTTGGTTTGTTTGTTTGTTTATTCATTCATTCATGAAAAACCAACAGCTTCTTACATTTAATAAAAACAGGAACATAAACATAAAGCCAATTACAGGTTTCCACCTACAGCTTTCGACAAATCATACACGAGTATTAAACAAACAAACAATAAACGTATTTCTTAACAACATGCACTTACATAAATATAACAACCCAACACCTGTGCTAATCACAATTCATTTCCAATATTTATTTATTTTATTTTATTTATTTATTTAATTCATTCCACATGACTTATATAATAAAGTCTAACGTAAATACAATAGTAATAAAAACGATTTTTACTAAATAACAAATCTATACAAATTGGCGCAATATGGTGTCAAGTAACCGGCAGCGGAATCGCCGATATATCTCCCATCTGCCAAAAGTCCTCCTTCATGAAGATCGACAGATGGTCGGTGTGCACTCTCACCAAAAACGAATTAAAATTCATGTTGTGATATACTCCACTACCTCCACAGACTTCGTCGAGAAATGCAGTCGCGACATGTGCAGCAGCGTCGTTGGTATGGCTAGACGATGGAGAAAGTTCGGTCCTGTCGGTGCAGTGCCAACGTGGTTACGGCTGGTAGGCTTCCTCTTCCTCTTCTTCATCTTTGAGAAGCCGTGCTCGTGGTACCGGTTCGTCTACCTCTGCGGTTTTACAACTTCATAGACATGCACATGGGGATTGCTTTTTCCCTTAGCAGATTGCCGCCGCTCGAGTTTCGAAGTGAAGGGTCGGCTAGTTGAAGCGGCTACATTCATCCCTTACAATATAAATGCAATACTTACAGTTTATTATTTTACTTATTTACTTATAGCTTATTGTTTGTTGGTATGGTTAGTATTGTCTTAATTTATAGTTAGTAATGTGTTAGGGTCGCCTTTAGTGGTGAAAACCTCCTCCAACTTCTTCCAAGTCTTGGCCATGGCGTTCCTGCCATTTCTGCATTATCATCGCTCTACCTTTGAGCTGTTACTTATTACAGTCACGAGGTACTAGTGTGTACTCGTGAAACAGACTTCACTCGCCGGAAAAAGTACTTGGTTAGCGTCAGCTCTCTGAGAACCGCAAGTGTTCAGCTCGCTGCAAGCTCGTGAACCTACACATTATGATTTTTGGTATCATAAATGTTACGGTTACAGCTCGCTAGTAAGTACTCGTTTCGCTTTTGATGGCCTGTCTCGTCTTTTTTGCTTCTAAAGTGGGCATCAATTCGTGACTGTCTTGCAGTCACAATTAGTGAACTAAAACTTACTGAAGCGCGGCTGCCGCACCACTGTTGCAACAATGCAGTGTTTCTGCAAACGTCGACAAAAACCGACTGTATATGCCATTACTAATATTTTTAAAGTAATTTCGATAATTTAATAATAGATAACCCGAATATTAACATTTTCTATCAAAATAACAATTACTTTTATACGTTATAATTATTAATACAAAGATCGAACACTTAGAAAAATATTCTTCGATCTTAATAATTGAATATCAATTCAATAAAAATTTTAAATACAGCGAATAGCGACATCTCTCGCCAGGACTGGTAACTGTAAAGGTACTAACTGGGTGATAAATCTTTCATAAATTTCTCATAGGTGGCGTTACGACAAAAAAAGTCGTTGAAAAAACCAAACACAAAGACACGACGCAAGCATATAGAAAAATTCGTGAGGTCCGCTGGTTCGTTCCGTGGCTTAGTTGGTATAGCGTCTGGCACGGTAAGCTAAAAGACGTCGGTTCGAATCCGGCCGGGATTTTTTTCTGAGTGTTCAATCTTTGTATTAATAATTATAACAAACTAGTGGAGTAATTTCACAAAAAATATTAATTTCAAATACTTTTATACGTGTTCCACCGGTAAATCCGGCTCGAAGGACCATAAAGATGTACGGTGCTCCATTCACGAACAAATGATAGTATAAAAACTTTAAGGAATGCTCATTAGTTTTGATTTTTAATCAATAATAATATACTATAATAATAGATGCGTAAAAAGTACACTATATATATCTGATTATAAAAGAGATAGCTGATTGTAAACTAAAAATAAATTATAACTAAATGTCGCATGAATATGCAAAATGCTGCATAAACACAATGTACGGTATTGCACCGTACAATGGAATTAAAATAATAACCAAAAATTTTAAGTAAATAACCACCAATGGTACAAAGATTTAGGTATATGACTCAAAGTAAACAAACTTCAACTGTCACTTGCAAGTAAAGCATACGCATTTACAATGGCGTCGGGTTAACTAGTCAAATATAATTTTTAGTACGGAGTTCCATACACCGTATTATTGCCGTACTCTTTAATTTGGTCGCAGGTTATTAGCTATCAATCTTTCTATGGGCTGAATTTTAAGTTGTTTATCGTAGGAAATATCGCTATTTAAATATTTAATCAATGTCGTTTAAATTTAAGTATTTAGTAGTATTTTGAACAAGTAGTTCGAAATGTTGTCTATTAAACGAAAATATTATGCTACCTATAATATTAAGTACCATTTTCAAACGTTCATTATAATTTTACAATAAGTAACCAGGTGATATCTATGAAATATCTCATTGAGGTTTGTTTGCATTTAGTTAATTAACTAAACCTTGTAATGTAGTGTAAATCAGACGAAGATGTCCTAGAGCTCGTATAACGTCTCTCGAGCTTACGTTTATATTTAACTCTACAGTTTGTGATAAAAAAAGGTCAAGTGTGTAAGCTTGAGTTGCTTTCTATGTTTAAAATTAAAAAAAAATGTTCTCTTGCGAATAAAAGTTACATACTATACGCCAAGAAAATTAAACAAGGAACAGTAATAAACATATTAGATGCTATCAAATTGACACTGTTTTGGTTCAATCTCTTCAATCGTATTATTGAATTGTAGACCGATGGTTTGACGTACCGCCTCTCAAGCAGATACCGCGGATCCGAATGCGGGCTCGCTTGCAGTTCCGAGTTTTCGGAATTTATGTGCTAACTTTAATTTGAAAACTATGAACATTTCGTTAGAGGAAAACATCGGGATGAAACTTGGACGTCTTGGACACTCGAAAACCGTGTGAAGTCTCCACAGTACAACAAATATTAGTAGAAGTGGTTAGTTAGCATCATGTTAGCATCGAACGCGGGACCACAGTATGGACAGTTGTCCATACTTGAGCTCAGTCTGCCATTTTCGCGTTGCACGGTGTGATTGTGTCATTCTGTCATGCAAATTGTCTAATGCCTTATTGTGCTGTTTTGGAGCGCACCAAAAACATTACCCGTGGTTGTATTTCATATCATCGGTAAATCTCATTTGAACAAATTTGACCATTTTCTGTTCATCGAATTGATTTTTTGTACTATAGCAAACGAAATTAAACATTAATCCAATGCAATATGGTTTACCTTTTGGAGAACAAGGTAAATTTTCCACGTTAGTAGCGAAAAAATGCGTCATGAGTGTTTTGTTAGATTTAAACTTAATTGATTGAAATAATGTTCATTACGCAACGTGTACGTTAAATATGACATCTGTTGTCGAGAAGATATTACTACTTTCTATTTCTTCAGATGTTAGTAATTCAGCTACTGGCCATACGATTAACAAGCACGTTAGTAAAGGTACAAAACTTTCAACGATATGACGACTGGGTAAAGTTTAAATTATATTAACAATCCAGAATTTGTTACATCTTTTTAAATTAGAAACTACGACCAATCATTATCAAGATTTCATAGAGTTTATAATGATAAACAAATGTGTTTGTGTGCGTTATGGTGACAGCTGATAGTAACCGAAGTATAAGGCATTTCTATTGTTTTTTTTTCTTCCGTGGAAGTCCCCAACTCGCATTTGGCCACCGTGGCGGGCTATGGCCTAAACCCTTGTCTAAGAGAAGATTCATGCCTAGTCGTAGGTTGTATAAGTGTGTTGATGATTGTGATTATAAGACCAAACGTTTCGTACACACCGACGACGCAACCTTTTTTTGCACTATGGGTCCTGGATGAAGAGAACCCGGGTTCAATTTAATCGGTATAACCAATTTGGGAAATAAACTTTTCTAAGTTCTAGTCTGGTTGTTCTGGGGAGTGTCCCAAGGTGAATTCCGTTGCTGTGGTACTCATAATACAGGGAATTCCCTAGTTTGAGACCAGGTAATAGATGTGGTTTTCTTTCACATTATTATTATTACTGTTTCAGAGTTCCCAAATTAAATAAGTAACCAAACTGTTTTGTTCTAAGTTCAATAATAAAAAATACTATGATGTAGTCCTTTTCTTTACGTGCATTACACGTTAGTACCAGTCAAATGACATTGTCATTCAATTTGTCGTCTTTTAATTCAAAATACTAAACTATAGTCCAATTCTAGAAACAGAATAGATGTATTGGTATATTGTTTCAAAGACAGTATTACATTGTATTTAACGTAGTACAAAAGCAAAATTAATATTTTTAGCTATGAAACGAAAACTTGGTAATTACTTTACAATGACAATAACATTCCTTACATACCTAGTTCAATTTAGAAAAGAATACTAAAATAGATTTTGTCATAATATTTACACAGAAAGATGTGAAACGGTTCAAAAGAAAGAAAGTCAAAGTGAGAAACACAAAACCGTACCTATAAAAATGATTAAACAAAAAGTTAAAAGTGAAAAAAAATTTAAAATTGTCTTATTCTTCTATTTGATGCCTGTATTAGTGGAAAATAAAACAAAAGAAAATGCAAATAATCTGATTTATATACTGATTTGGACAGACCCAACGATTTCTCCATTCATGTACATGGGAACAGGGCAAGAATACTTTAAAAACATGTCCTGTCGCTTCCAAAACTGCTTTATAACCAGCAACAGAAACTTATTCACAGATGTAAGAGAATTTGACGTAATATTGTTTAATGTAGTAACTCTGGCCAAAATGACGTTTCCACTCGACCGATATACCTATCCCTTAGATCCTGTTAAATTAATTGAAGAGAATAAACCACGTAATCGATCGGAAGATCAAAATTACTTTTTCGTAAGTGACGAACCTCCTGCACTCTACGCAATACATAGACACTACAATAATTTTTTTAACTATACTTGGACTTATAAATTGGATTCTGATGTTACGATGAAATATTTTATAATAAGGAACAAAGTAGGTAAAGTCATAGGACCTAAGAAAGATATGAATTGGATGGATATCAATGACATGACACCAACTAGTAAGCACATTGAAAAGAAGTTGCAGAGTAAAAAAAAAGCAGCTGCGTGGTTTGCAACAGACTGCCCAACACCGAGTGAACGTGAAAAGTTTGTAAACAGCTTACAAGACGAATTGCAGCATTATAACCTAAGCATTGATACATTTGGACGCTGTGGCGAGTTTCACTGTCCCAAATATAAAATGGAAGAATGTCATGCCTTTGTAGAGAAAGATTATTATTTTTATTTGGCGTTTGAGAATTCAATGTCGGAAGACTACGTCACTGAAAAGGTTTTGACAGCTTTGGAACACTATACGGTGCCTATAGTTTACGGAGGAGCAAATTATACCAGGTTTCTTCTTTTCTTGCATGTAAATTATAAAAGTAATCACAATGTTGATTCTCATATCCGAGCTGCCGATGTTTTTATGATCAGAAAAAGTGACGGATCGAACAACTCGTGGGCTTGGTGGTCAGCGACACGGCTGTCTATAACAGTTGCAGTGCCACTCAAAGTCTTAAAACGCAAAGATCTAAGTGGCACTGCCACAGCGTCCGTCACCCTTAGACATACGTTGACAAGTTCCATGAGCCTATAATTTCACCTGCACCCTTAACTCTTCAAAACCGGACCACAGTAATGCTGATATTACTGTTTGGCGGCAGAAATAGGTAAGGTGGCAGTACTACCCTGGACGAACTATTCACAAAGAACTCTTGTACTACTGAACCAGGATATAGTTTTCTGGGGCATTTGCAATCAATATGCTTTAGTATAAACTTATGTCTAAAGCAGATTGATTGTTCCATATGTAATGATCTAAACCACATGTCTATTTTGAGATTTTGATCTTGTTTGATATGTCTAAACGTAGTAGTTACAGTTAACTTGTCGATCTGTGATTAATCATTGTTCCATCGTGCCTCATACAAACAACCTCATTGATTACTTGACCAACATGATAGCTCTGACCGATACTTTAATTTGTTACCACCATCCTTGGAAATTGCATTATAATATTCTATGATGTATAAATTGATCTCGTATGTTAGAGAAATAGCTAAACCATTTTCAATAATAGTTATTGAATTGATCAGAATCATTATGAGTTATATTTGACTGATCCGCCAAGAGATGCTGCAGGTACAGTTGTGTGATGCTTATTTCTTTTTTTGTTAAAAGTAACTGGGTTCAAATATTTATCATTATCAAACTACGTTTCTGATCTTTTACGCCTGAGATGTGTAATAGTAAGATTTTAGTTAAAAAATGGGACTGATTTTATTTTATATTTTTCAGATTTATTCCTAAAGGAATATATTTAGATGCTGAAAGCTTAGGACCTGGTGAACTGGCGAGGGTAATGAACGATACTATGTGCAACAAGAAAAAATATTACGACTTTTTCAAATGGCACAATCATTACAGTTTTCATGCCTCTAATGCCAGCGCGAACACTGATGAAATCTGCGCCTTTTGTGCTTTCCTTAATGAAAAGAAACTCAAGTATACGAGAAGTGTTTATAAGAGTATTTCTTTGTTTTGGGTATCGTAGGAAATACTTTCTTAATTACACATGTTTGATAATCTTAGTCGTAATAAGAGATGGTTATTGGTGTTATAATATTAATGGTATTCCTAGAATATCAACACGCCTGCACCATACGGTATACCTTTCGCTCCCTCCATTCCATTCAATATTATCATATACGTCTGTTGATTATTGATACAATTTTAATTTGGCCCGTTTGATGACTACGTTGAATAAATTGTCAAACGCAACATAGTGATTCTAATAATTCATGGCCAAACTAATATACATTCCAGTGCGGGATAAGAGTCTAAGTAGTGGGTCTCTTTAAGGAGAGGGTTTAGGCCAATTAGAGGACTTAACAAACAAGTAACATAGAAACAATGATTAACTACTAAAAGGCCTAGACCTAGACCTAAAATTCTTAAAAATGGTCTTTATAATATGTGTTGTTTGTAAATGTATAGCACTTTATAAGTAAATGTTTTATATTGTGAAAACACAGCTTGTACAAAAGTTTCCTGTCAAAAAGAACAGCATATCGTAGACTTACTTTCTCGAACTCGTATCTTATAAAGAGTGATTGTTCAGGAGATGGCAAAAATCTTATTTATTTTAAATTTCTTATCAAGGGTGTTATTTTGGATACATTACTTTAAGAATAGGTAAAAGAATGTAAATATGAAGGAAATGTGATGTGAAATTTGTGTATACAATCTATTTGTTCCATGTCAATAACTTTGTGTTTTAACATACGACTTTGAGACAGTAAGATGTCGAATTAACAATTTGATTACAATTTCAAAAATATAGAGAAATGATTAGAGTCAGAAAGCTAATATACACTAGACATAATGTCAATCAATGCATGCTTATTTTACAATGTTTTCAAAAAAGGAGGAGGTTCTCAATTCGACTGTATGTGTATGATAACTCCGTATTTGTGAACCGATTTTCATGATTCTTTTTTGTTGGAAAAGAGGGTACCTCCATAGGGGTCCCATTTCATTTTGAAGAAAATAATCCACCTCTAAGGGTGACTGTTCACGCATAAAGATTCATTTTTATTAAAAAAAAAAAAAAAAGTTTATTTCAGACATAGTCCATATTAGTGTTAGTTACAAAAAAAATTCTTACAACCTATGTTAGTACTAAATTTGCGAAATATTACAATAACTTATAAATTAAACCCCTGGAACCCATGTGGACTGAGTTCCAGTGCTTCCACAATTCACTAACAGGGTTCTCCCAGATCAAACGAACTAGGCTATTGGAACTGCCACGCACGCGACGCATCAGGGAGGCGGTTCTTTTCCGAATAATCGCGCTGAAGCTATCAATTCGTGCGTCCGCGAACATACCTGATGCGCTGCAAAATCGTGGCAGCCCCAATAGCATCCTAAGACCATTATTGTATTGGACACGCAGGGCATTGACCGTCGCTTTAGTGTAATTTGTCCACAGGCTGCACGTATAGAAGGTCTGACAAAAAGCCCTGAAAAGGGTGGCTTTGACATTAACCTCACAACGCGCAAACCTGCGTGACAACATATTACAACGTACGGCCAACGCTCTGCGCTCCCTCTCCATATCTACATCATCCTGCAGATTTTCTGTGACCCAGTGCCCTAGGTATTTAAACCTTGCTACTCTCTTGAGAGGCGCACCACACAAATAAATAGGAGGGATTGAAGCAAGGGCTTTGTTACCGGCTTTAAACACTAAAAGCTCGCTTTTATTTGTGTTATATGTTAGACCGTGAGTCATCGCATACTCCTCACAAATACTTAATAGTTTTACTAGCGCTTTATAAATAGCGCCTAAATTTTATTATAAGGAACAATTACTTTAATGGTTGATTTTGCTATTCTCCAATTCAAAGCGTTTTTCTCTCTCGCTATACTTTGAGTAGTGAGAACCGATTTTTATTATCTCCAGTGTCAAGTCCTGTATAGTGGCGAACTAGGGGATATTTCAATAAAACTTGGCAAATAGACGTAATTCCACGTACTTTTGAGGTTGTTTTTTTTAGTACTCTGTACTGAGATTATTTAATAAAGGTTTATGACTTTTTTGATGTCGTTTATAAATAAATCCCAAGAAACTGAGAAACTCATCATCGACGTAAATGATATTACATCGATGAAGAGTTTCTTAAATATTCTTGCCTAGTAAATTCATCACCAATAAAAAAGGATAGAGGCAAAATAATGCTTGTAGCCTTTATTGTATAGTCTTATATTCGTAATAAAACAACGAGGATAAAGAAATATATAACAAGAAAAAAATATTCGTAATTATGAATCAACCATTACTCAAGAGCGAAGTATAATTGCGTATAGTACCTACATAGAATTAATTTATTTTGCAATGTTTCAAGAATATCAACAACAACAAAATGCAAGGTAAGTATTATAATGATACATACCTTGTTAATGACTGATGTTCCAGATCATAATCTGGAACATCAGTTATTATCACAGGCATGGAAACCAGCTACTCTCTTTTATCAACTATCTTGGTTACACGCATGAGCCAAATTTTGAAATATGCATGTCCCACTTATTCAGCTGCTCTGCAGTTATGTGAAGTAGTGGAAGATACATTACATTTGTTACTGGAATGTGTCCGGTACGAGCAACAGAGGGCGGCGTTGATGAGAGACCTGCGGATCAACCGAACATCCGGAGGTGCTCTAAGTTGTATACTAAGCAATCCCCACACGAAACAGGCAAAGACTGTTACTGTTTGTGGAATCAGCTCTCCAGCAGCACCGCCTAAAAATGTAAGTTATAGTCGAGGATATGATGGAACTGGCATATACATGGTACAAAAGTTCTTAAATTAATAAAGATTTAAAAAAAGTTCTTATTTAGCACTCTTTTCAGTTTTAAACTCTATTTTTTACCAGTGCTAACTCTTCTCATCTGGTTTGTAAACTTCAGTCTCTCCAATAGAATTGAAGCTATCAGCGCAAAAATGGCTTAACCGCCATTTAACCGCTCACGCGATGCGCTACCCCCACCTGCACGGCCCTTCAAGGATAGGATAAACCTACCGCAAAATGCTTCCAGAGACGCATGAATCGCGCAACGCTCTGTGGCGGCATGCGTCCACGACTGCATGTATCGCGTGAGCGGTTACTTTATGTTTCACAACATTAAATGATATTAAAGTACATGATTATTATACATTTGAATGCTATTTTCGTGTATAAATATATATATAAATATAAATATATGTATATATATTGGTAATATTTATATAATTACTAAATACAAAATAAAATTTGCTATTTTTTAATCCCTCATTATCTTTTATAATGTATTTCTTTTACACCTTTCTTGCGCTGATAGCCTCAATTAAGGGTTGTGTTTGCCAAAAACCTTTATTCTCCATTGCTTGATATAGCAGGATTGATTCTGCTACGCCATATTCCAACCTACCCAATACTATTTGAAGATAGGTGATTCTTTAAGTTAAGGAATTCTGCAAACAAAACGGTTCGGGGTTCAGGCATTCAGCGTTTACTCACCAAATCCCACACATTGACCGAAGAAGTAAACTACAAATAACGCTGAACATAAACGCGTGTATTCTATCTGATTGCTGAATTCTTTGAAGTGTACGTCGTAGGCCATTTTAGTAACTATTTCGACGGTGGTGTTTAGTTATTTGATCTCTGACTCTATGGGCTTCTTCATCTTATAGGATCTTGTCGGTGGCCACCAAACCGTCTCTACCCAACATTGATTAATATACCCAATACCTACTAATATATCTATAGGAACTTCTTGTGGGGTCATTTCTTTTATTATTGAGGTAAGCACAAAATGCGCAAATCTCATCAGTCTCTGCTGTTTCATTAGCGGCGTGAAAACTATAATATCTATGCCACTTGAAGTAGTTATAATACTTGTTTTTGTCCTGAATAATATCATTCATCTCTTTTGCTAGTTTGATGGGTTCCAAAACTGATGCATCTAAGTATATTCCTTCAGGTACGAATCTGAAAAACAATATGAGCACAAAAGCTTCTACACAAAATTCACATCGATCGAAGACAACTCTAAAAATGTTCAAATGATTGTGAACTGAAATTAACTGTCTAATGCAAAAAAACGTACAAGTGTAACGTGTGTAACGCGTGTGTGCGCTAAAAAGTGTACAAGTGTAAAAGTGTAGTGTAGCGAACTTATAGGGCGTTAAAATCGTATACAGAGCGTCATTCACGCTTTAGTCTTCGTTTGTTCGACTGACAGCGAAGCAAGCAAAATTAGAAAGTACTGCGATGACAATATTACAATTTAAATTCAACGTTTTAGCTTTTTCATATTCCTTTACATGTCATTACGTTTAAATAGGTTGACTTGGAATATTTTTTTCGTGGTTTTTGTATTAGACCCGTCGTCCATTTATTTGTAAGTCAATGGTTCTACTAATAAATCAACACACAAACCTAGTATAATTTGCACCCCCATAAACTATCGGCACAGCGTAGTGTTCTAAAGCTGTCAATAATTTCTCAGTAACATAATCTTCACACATTGAATTTTCAAAAGCCAAATAAAAATAATAATCTGATTCTACTAATGCATGACATTCTTCCTTAGTAGCTTTGGGACATTTGAGATTTCCACATCTCCCAAACACATCTATCTTCAATTTATATTTATCCAGCTCTTCCTTTAACTTTTGTACAAATTGTTCACGTTGGATCGGTGTGTCACAGTGTGACACGAACCATACTGCAGCTGTTTTCTTACTCTGCAATTTATTTCTTATAGCCTTACTTGTTGGTTTCATATCTTTGACATCCATCCAGTGCATATCTCTTTTAGGTCCTATGACATTACCTCCTTTGTTTCTTACTACAAAATATTTCAGTGTAGCGTTTGAATCAAATCTGTATGTCCAAGTCAAATTGAAAACTCCATCATAATGTAAAGGCATTGGATAGAATGCTGGAGGTTCA